GTAAAACTCTTGCTCTGGAACCGGAGACTCCAGTGATGTTCTGTGCCTAGAGGTACTGGCTGCAAGGTCACCACGGAGGAGCGCACTGAAAGGCAACCCACCTGGCCAAACCACATCTCAAATCAGGCAACACGAGTGTTCTCGAATTCTGAAAAGCGATGGCACGCGACTCTCTCTCTCTCTCTCTATATATATATATATATAGACTAACACGTATGTTGCACAAACTCTGGGCAATAAGGCACAACGCAGAGGTGCAGCCAACTGTACAAACTCTGCTTGCGCCAAACTGATTTGGCGATGTCGTAGCGTCAGCTTGTTGGCAAATTTTGTCGGGGTTGACATGAACAGGCCTCCGCGCAAAGATCGTCCTACCCTTTGACCAACAACACGAGTCTGCGACCGCGACTTGTTCCTAACCAGATCCATTTGATGCTGTGCCCATGCGTTCCATTCCAAAGTCCCAATATGGGTTGGTTTTTGAGGTTGGACCCCCAAATAGGACTCTGGTTATCCTTTTGGTTTCCCTACAAACAACTAAAAATGGGGGCACAAAAACCCGCGGCAACATCTGCCGGCTGTGCGGCAGGCGCCACGCTATGGCCCTTGAGGTAGAAAAGCACCGAGCGCCCATCATGGACCTTGCGGAAGGGGCGCGAGGCGCGAGTGCCAGAGCTGCTTGCAATTCCATTTATTTCTTCCCCACAAAAGGGAAAATCGCACCGTAAATGGAATTTCAGGGGTCACCCCCCTCCCCAATTCCATTTTGAAGGGGGTGGGGATCTTGCAGAAAACAGGGCCCCCTGCAACAAAACCTTGCTGAGGAGATGGCTGTGTCTTATTCTCAATAAATCCTGTTGTAAAACTGCCAATCTGACTGTGCCAATGGAGCCTCAGGCGCACTAGCGTTGGCCAAAAGGGCAAATTGATGCCCATTCCAGTCTTCTTGGCTCAGTCGCTTCCCCCATTATAAGTACATATTATTTTAATTCATAGGGTTGATCGGACTTCCTCTTCGGTCCTCGTACAAATGGGCCGTTTAACTGTAGACTTAAAGTTCAAGACACACATTTACAGTTGTCAAGGTAAATATTAACTTGTATGTTGAAAAAAATGCTGGAATACTCCCTGATAAGACTGGTGTCGAGCTCGGCGCGAAATCTTCAGGATGTGCATTGGTTTAGAATTGGCGTATTCTAGAAGTAGGATTGGTGATGTGGGGGTTAGGACGATATTTACCAATAGGGTGCATTTCTTAACAGGGGGAAGGTCGAGAGTATTGCGCACTGGGGAGGGAGGCTTGCAGGAAAGCGCACGCAACACGCAATGGCCCAAATTGAATGGATCTTGAGTTGGCGACGTTGAACACCACGGGAAGGATGTGCGTGCCGATGCTGTGGTGGTGGTACGTGAACTTCACCTGAGGCAAAGACTTTGCCAAATGTTGCGCTGTGGCACCTGCTTGACAATCGCCGTTTGGATCTAAGTGCACGGCGTGCAGAAAATCACCCGGTGCAATTGCACCACTTCTGGGCTGGATGTCGTACACTCCGTGTTCCTCCACCTCAAATCTGGCGCAGCTTTATATAGCAACAAGCAATAAAATTGTGATAGCTTGGCATTTGAAGCGGCTCCCAGTTAAAAACCAACAAACCCGCATAGCGCCGTCATCGAGTCATAGCATTTGCAAAATGAGCACTGCATTTTTCCTCCGGATCACGGTGGATGAAACCAGGTTAAGCGCGCGGAAAACCCGAGCGCCCTGCCCAGGTGAAATGCGCCTCCCGCTCATCGACCAGGGCCTTCTCATCACACCTGTTTGTTGACATCAAGCACGCCTGCAGGTGTCTACCCCTGTTCCAGGATTCTTGGTGTGGCATGGCGGAAGTACACACCTTCATCCCTTACAGCTGAAGGGGTAATTACTAGTCTGCATCTCGGCCAGCTCATGGCGCGCCACGTTTTCCCCTTTCCCTCCATTGGACACGTGAACAACAAGCAGCCTCTCGCGGATCATCCACTCCGACACTGCAAAAAGCGCTTCACCCGGCATTTTCAGCACAACGCATTCTGAGGGCAGCTGCCAGTACGGCACGTTCTCCAAGTTCAGGTTCTCAGGTGTCTGGAAGGAGAACCTCGGCGAGTTCTCGACAGATTCGAAACGACGCGAAAGGTCGATCAGGGCCCAAAGCCTGATGGGCAAGTAGCCCGGGTTGGACAGCGCCAAGTACACCACCGTGGCGCCTGGGAACTCTGCACTGCAATCGTGGGTCTCAATATGGGTGTGTCCATGGGGGGCCCAACCGTTTTGGTGCCCAAAACGGTTCCTTCTTGAACCCCCCAAAAGCAGGTACCCTCCAACAAAAACAGACATGATCATTGGCAAAAGCTGTGAACGGCTGCTGGATGCAACTACCAAAAGGTGTCTTCATTTTGCCATGCCCAAACTAGCTGACCTCCACAATCTACGTTGCTTTGGTTGCCTTGCAAGCCCAGTCCTCTTGCCGGTGATCAGTAGGGAATGAGAAATGGAATGAACCTGGGGGTCCCCTTAAGAGAAATCACCAGTTGGATGGTTTTTCTTGGCGCTCATTGTATTTCTCATTCCCTGCATCTCTTGCACCGATCGCAAGTCTTCGGTTGCCAAGTACGGGGCCACCCCCCCCTCTTGGGTCGCACGACTGGAATCCACTGCGGCGGTGCCGAAAAGCAACTGGAAGGGCTTCAGCTGCCTCGCCGCGCAAAAAGAACTTGGAGCTTCAAGTGAGTCACAATCAGAACCATGTAAAGGCGGCCGCAACTTCTGGCTACTGCCCCTTACTAAACTTCATCTACCGTTTTGATTGTGGCTGACCTTACAGGGCCATCGCTAGCTCCGAAAGGTTCCCCATTTAAAAGCATATTTGGATACCCCCAGCTCCGTAACGGCTCCCCTCCAACCACCAGCTAGCAATTTTGTGGGGGAAAATGCGGGGGGGAGGTGGAGTGATAAGGTTATTTTCGTATGGGTGTTTGATGCACTCCCCCCCTTTCCAGTTCCTTCTGGGGGGGCGGGGAGGGGGGGGGGAATAAAGCAAAATAATAAAGTAATCCGCATATGCGTCATCATATTAGAAGTGTTTGAAAACAAACACAAAACTCAACCAAACACAAACATACACTGGAGGCCCCAAATTTAAAAGAGGCCGCAAACACAGTAGCCCCAGCTGACATTGTCAAAGAAACGTCGCCATGAATCTTGACGAATCCCTAACTAAGAAGGAGCGTCGAATCCCACCTTCATATGGGCGTGTGCCCGACTTGCCCCTGCGACTCTATGGTTGGCTTCACAGCGGGTTCCTTTCAAAGTGCAGCAAAAAAGAAAAAAACTCCGCAAGGGGGGATGGAACTCAACGTAACCCCCCCATCTGACCCTAGCCCCGTGATGCATCAGAGACAGTCCAACAGCTGGGTACCTTGGCAAGGCTCCCACACTACTGTGGTTGCCTGCCAAATCCCCGCAGCGAGGTCACAAATGTGAGGCGAACCTTCTGTTCAGCACAATTAGCTTTATTGAAAACATATCAAACCCGGAGCGGCGGGGTACATCCCACTCGCACTACTTTGATTTTGGGAATGAAGCATACAAGTAAAAGGCCCCCTGCGCCAAATTGGGCAAAAGTCAGGCTTCATGTGTATGTTGATGCCTGCAAGATCAATGAAGTTTCTTGCCTGTGTCAAACCTGTTCGGGCCCTTTCGAGTGCTGTCTTTCCTATTGGATCCCATCAAGTGGACCCCGCGTGGGGACTCTCGGAGAAAGAGGTTGGAGAGAGTCGCAGATAGCCTTTTGGTTCGCTGACCGCCTTGCTTTACTGGGAGATAATGCCCAATGCATGGTCACATTCCTCTGGGCTGGCAATTGAAAACATGAGGCACACCCTTTCCCCGTCCTGGATTCCTAAGGCGCTCAAATTCCACACCGGCGAGGCTTGACCCGGCCACACAAAAAGCCACACACACACACACACGCACTCAATTGGCACTCTGATGTCTTCATGCTGCACCAACGCACGAGGCACTACATATCGTCCTTCTAAAGAGTCTGTTCAACGCCATGCCCTGATGGTAATTTGGTGGCTGTGCCTCATGTCATCCCCTTCACTACTGCACCTGGTGGTGAATACTCCTGTCAAACCAACGGCGGCCCACTTGCCTCACCAAACGCTTCTTCTCATCGATGCCGATGGCATTCTGGAAGCAACATTCAATGGCCGTTCTGTTCGACCCCCCTTTGCGGCCGTAAACGGAAAGCTAAAGGAAACCACTTGCAGTGGTCATGTGCTTCAAGAGATGGACTTGGTTGGAGAATCAAAGCACTTGTTTCTGACCTACTTTGCCTCATTGAGCAATGGAAGAATCATGCGACGCGCTGTTGCACCCATGGAGCACACCCTTCCAAAGAACTCCCTGCAAAAACATCGGATAGGTGCAGAGTTCCACCTGGTCCAAGTCTGGCAATCCGTGGATCTGCTTCTCTTTGGTTTCTTTTGGCTTCGTCTTTGAGACAGCCCCGGGCTAGCCCAGGAAACTCATGCACCAGTTGCCTTGCAGACCGTTGCCTTTTTGAACGAGAATCATCTCTAGAGGCAGAATGCTGCTGGTTCAAGTCCAAGGTTTTGAAAGTTTAAACCTGCTCTGCCCCCACTAAAACCGAATGATGGACCAAAACCATAACAACCATAATTCTGACGGGGGGTCCCAATCACTACCTTTCCCGAGCCTGAAACATCCGCTCTTCCTCCGCCACCTCGCCCTGATAAAGCTCATTGATTCCATCCACCTCAGGTGAGTACCACACACCGCAGAGACCTATTTACCTCACTTGCCAAAGGACCTGGAAAAAAAAAGGTGAACCTGTTGCCTTGACTAAACATGTACCATGGGAAAGATCCCCAAGGTCGGATCGATCGGGTCAATTCGATTGCTTGCCACTGAGCTACACATCATGTGCATAGTCTTTTTGTACACGACCAACTCGCATCGAATGCCATAGATGGCTCCCAAAGAAACCAAAGGAGTTTCGTCCAGTACGTTGTGCCGCGCCTGGAACTGGGTCCACATCATGGACTGTGGCTGCAGGGTGGCAGACCTGGATGCTCAATGACACCAAAAGGGACACCCTGTATCCCAATAAACATACTATAATAATAATACTAATACTAATAATAATAATAATACTAATAATAATAATAATAATAATAATAATAATAATAATAATAATAATAATAAATGTGTATATATAAAGGTATACATAATTATACAATTATATATATATCCCCATTTCAAAGGCACAAAATGACAAGGTCCGAAAAGCGGTCCCGATCTTTGGCGACCGAATTGAGTTGAAGCTACTCAAAACAAACCTCTCACGGCCCCTCAAATCAGTTCTAAATCTGCAAGAAACCAAGCTGACATATGTCGCTAGCATAATTGTCCAAAGAGGAGGCAATCATTTCCTGGCACCGAGGCCACAGCTCAGTCCGAAGGTCAGCAATCTGGACGTAGGGGTACTGCACCAGCGCGCTCTGGCCAAGGGTGCTGAAAAAGCATGTATTTAGAAGAGCGATTGCAGAGCGACGAAGCTCAGAAAGAAAAAAAGAAACAACAAAGACAAACAACTTGTGCCGGGATGGCCAGCGTGAAGGTCACGCTTTTGCCGCTGGGTTCTTCAGCCCCTTCTCCTTTTGGTGTGACTGCCACCTCCAAAGATTGGCTTTGCGAATGGATGCGGATGAAGCTCCAAACCCGTGCATGGCCTCATAAATGAACTCCCCGCGGCCTGAGTCACACAAACCCCCGGCACAATATCAACAAATGTCAACATCTCAGCACTCGACAAGGCGGATGGAACTTGATGTCAAGCGTCGCTGTGCATCTACCTACAAGTCACACAGACCGCGGGCTTGAAAGAAAAGCCTTCCGGCCTGCTACCGAGCCCACAGTATGGCCCACCACCAGCGCCTCCGCCTGACTCTTCCCGCGTGCAGATGTGAGGCTTCGGCTCCAAGAGCTCTCAGCACCGGGCCGCAACTGCTGCAGCTTGAGGATCCCTCCGGCAGCTTGCGCTCAAAAAAACGGCGCGCCGCTGACTGTGCTTTCCCACTGAGCTTGGGGCTTGCCAATGAATTGCAGGGAAACCTCATACCGGACCTTGGGCATCACTCCCCGCGCCAAGGTCCAGTCACGTGGACTTTTTTCCGCGAAAGAACAGCCACGAGTCGCCGAGCCGACGGCCAGCAGCTGGGAGGAGTTCAAAATCACTACCTGCTCTCGCAGAAACAATGAGGACATGGCAGCGAACGAGCTCACACAAAAAGGAGGGGGCATATGGGTGTGGGTCAAAAAAAGTACCCAACATGGAACCCTGGTAAATTGAAACAACAACCAAAACCTGCGGTCCCCTTGTGATTATATTGACCCACACCCATATTGCAGCGTTCTGAGGGAAAGGCCGAAACTAACCGAAGCCAACAAAGCTCTATAGGCAGCAGTTGCCCAAACAACCAATATCAACAAAACATGTCACCTAAAACACATTTTCAAACAACTGCGTGACTTTCACCCGACCTTTATTTACGCCAGCCGACCAACCAACCAACCAACCATCCAACCATCCAACCAACCAACCCACCCACCCACCCACCCACCAACCCACCAACTCACCAACCCACCAACGCACCAACCACCAACCCACCAACCCACCAACCCACCAACCCACCAACCCACCAACCCACCAACCCACCAGCGCACCAACCAACCAGCCAGCCGGCCTACCAGGCACATTAATCCACAAATCCGTGCAAATCTGATCCAAACCAATCCAATCCAAGCCAATCCAAGCCAAACCATCAATGAAACCATCAATCAACCAACCAAATCAATCAATCAAATAAAATAATCAAATCAAAAAAAGCTAGGTACTAAATCAATAAAAATAAATAAATAAATAAATAAATCAATCAATCAATCAATCAATCAATCAAATAAAACCAAATCCATCAAAACAATGCATCAACGAATCAATGGATCAACGGATCAATGGATCCATTGACCAATGCATCCATAAGATTCGGGGGGCGGTCTGCCTTCAAGACTTGAAACAGTCTCAGGTTCCGGAAGCCAGACCTCCCACGCATCCCATGCGCGCTTCTCGGCTTCCCGTAAATCCGTCCGCTCGCCTGGCGCAGCTGCGCCTCGCAGGCCTTGGTGGCGCCCAGGTCCAGGCTGTCGGGCTCCAGGGACAGCGCAGGGCCTCCCCGGAAACGCAGCTGCGGCCAAACGTTTGGCGCCGTTTCGGCGCTGAGGAGAGACAAACCGACCCCCCCCGCCGGTTTTTCTGGGCGGGTTTTTTGAAGAGGACGTGATGGAAGGGCATTTTGAAGCCAGGTTGGGGAGGATCACTAAAAAAGATACACCCATATGACCATTGCGGCTGAATTTTGTTGCCCAACTAGCATGCATGTAATGCAAGCAGTGTGGTCGCTCAACATGCAGTGATTGTTAGATGCCCTTGAAGCAGGCTATACTGACACCGACAAGGCAATTGAAAAAACCTACCACTTGACCAGGTGCCGTCTGTTTCTGAGCTTCGACCCTCATGTCGCTTCAAAGAAGGCTGAGCTTCGGTGAGAGGCATCCCGGCCTTTGCCATGCCCCACGAGCTGAAGGACGTACGACTGGCGGGAGTGATGAGTCAAGTAAAATGTGCCGGCTCAAGCCTTGAGCCGGTCACTACTATAGGATGAAGGGCTCCGAAATGACTTGAAAACAACCGACCTCCAGGGCCCATGTCCAAGAAGCGGGGTAAATTCCTCCTCAAACACGCAACTGGGAACATCCCTTGCTTGGCCTTGCGTGAGCAAAACGAAAACGGCCAGGCTTCAAGTCCCAGAGTGGACGTGCAATATTCCTGGACACAAGCCTTTTGGGACATGGCCTTTGTTTCTCCCTCTTCCCTCTGATTCAATCGCAGAGCTCGTGCCAGGAAGGCCGGCTCTTCCGCAGGCGCGGGTACATTGAGAAGCGCCTCACATGCGCAACTGTGTATCCATATGGCTGTGGGTCAAAACCCTGTACCCCTGGTGAACATCACAATAGGAGGCAACATGGATGTTCATCCACCCCAAAATGGAGCCATAGGTTCTGCCCCATGGCCATGTTCGTCTCTTGGATACACGGACAACGTGTCCTCCAACCCCCTAAGCTCCCCGCACGCAGTGGGCCTTCCACAAAGTTGTCAGGGTCCTCACAGGATCTGACAAGCAAATAATCAGATTATATTTCATAAACTTGCGCCCCACAGATCGGTATGTCAAAAGCACAACTACTGCAAATACCAATCAGTTGGAACAAAATCGGGTGCGGATTTCTTTTTCTGCGGTTTTTGTTTGTTTTTTTCGTCCGTGTCGTATTTTACAGCATTTTCTCGCGAAATTGACGCATTTTACACTAGCCCGTCAACCTCCCCAGCATCGTTTTCAACATCCCCCACATGTCCGACCAACATCCCTAGCATCACCAACAAATCGTGGGTAACAAAATCCCAAAAGTAGCTGGCGGGTTGACGGGGTCAAACAAAATGATTCAAACAGGAGGGCATTTTAATCCCAGTCAAAAAAAAGCGGGGGGGCCCATGATGGTCGCAGAAGTGATGATTCAAATAGGGGTGCAATTATTTCTGCAAAAGTCTAAAACTAGCGGGGGGGTTGGGGGGGGCGGCAGCCCCCCCATGATGTTCGAAGAATTGATGATTCAACTGGGGGTGCAAATAGAAAATCTAAAACGTAGCGGGGGGGTTGGGGGGGGCGGCAGCCCCCCCCATGATGTCGGAAGAAGTGATGATTCAAATAGGGCGGAACTGGTGATGCTGATGATGCGGGAGGCCAAATCCAAAAACCAATGAAAGGGTGCAAGAGCCAAAAAGCCCAGAGAGGAACTGTGAAAGCAGAGGATGCGAAAAGCCAAAGCCGCCAAAAGGCAAAAGCCAACATGCCACCTGCCGAAGAGGAAGTGGGAATGCAGAGGATGCGAAAAGCCAAAGCCAAAAAGCCACCAAAAGCCGCATAAACCAACAAAAAGCAGAAAAGCCAAGAAGCCAAAAAGCCAAGAAGCCAAAAAGCCGAAAAGCCAAGAAGCCAAAAGCAAAAAAAAAAAACTCCTCCAAAAAAAACTGTCCTTTTTCACACAAAGTGCCAGGTCTTGTCCCACAACTGCCGCGGCTCGCTGCTTGCGACCGAGCACGTTCTGACATGCCCCAGCAAAAACTCGTGCTAGAACCAGCGACCAGAGCGATGGAGGCACTCCTCGATGCAGCTGGTTGCGCAGTACATGGGGGCGGAGAAAACTCGCCTCGGGAATTCGAAAGTAGGAGGAGCCAAGGGAACAGTGTATATGCGAATATGCATCGAGGCAAGCACAGACAGGCATGCAGACAGGTATGCCGGGATGGAATTTTGCGGATTCACCGTACCAGGGCTTAAAAGCTCCATGTATCCGTCCAAATATGCACCCCTGGCATGTACCCCAAATTGTGCACGGGCGATTTAACAACTAGTTTTGGCGCAATTACTGGACAACTGTCGCCCAAAGGCCCACAAATATGGGTCCATACAATCCGGCTTTGAAGCGCAATCGATCGTGAGCACATGTAGGCAAGGGAAAAAGCAAGGAGTAAAGGAACTTCACAGCTTCTTTCTCACGGATTAGAAGTCTATGGAAGAAACCTTCTGGCTCCACCCACGGCTCTTCTCAAGCCTGAGGTGGAGACTCGCTGGAAGGGCAGAAGTTTGCGATGATGCTGGTAGATTCAGAAGGTGCCAGCCTTTGGACCCGTGACTCTCTCTCTCTATAATATATATATATACATATCTCTCCCTTCTTGGCCAAGCCAAGCAAGTAAGTGCCGCTCCGACCCGCCGGCTCGGAAAACCTGAAGGTTTGCAGGTTGCAAAGTCCAACGGCTCTTAAAGAGGCGCGCCAGAAGGTGGAGCGGAAGCGGCTTGGGATTCGGCACTCATACCTGCCACAAGCAATGGCCAAAGGGTAGGCGTGCACAAGAGCTCCATGCGACCCAAGCTGAGTCAGGCGGGCGAAATCGGAATTTCCGAGACATTCTTCACGGCGCAGACCTGCCCAGCTGGCTGTGCCTAGAACCAGAGAGCCAGTTTGGGCGCCGACCATTGTGGAGGCAATGCCAGAGCACCTGCCAAGGGCAAACATCAGAACCGCTCAACCTGGGATTCACGGCGTGAGCCTTTCCCGGCGGAAAAAAAGGAGAAAAAAAAAGCCACGCCGGGCCCACGTCGGAGGGAAGGTCACGTTCAGCTGGCCATTGCAGAAGGAGAGCTGAGGCTTCCATGCCTCAGCCGCGCCAAAGCAATGACGAAGATATTCACTCGGTTGCTTTCTGCTCCCCTGCCAAAAGTTTAACTTTTAGTGGTTTAATGGAAAACCCATTAGTTGGCAAAAAGTTAAAGTCCTAACATCCAAGCAAAATGCAGAAAATTTCACTTCGACCCTCTTCCTCTTTTGAGGTTCATTTATTCAACGTGTGCATTGGCCAACGGTATCTCGCGAGCAGCATGGTCTGCCCCTCTTGCAATGATCACACCGGTCTCAACCTCCCTTCTTGTGTAATGATGAGGTGCGCACCCGTGCAGACACTCGAATGATCTTTGGTTGGCTCTCGTAGTAATCCACCACCTGGGTAGGCAATGTCCCAACCCAACACCAAACAGGTGCAGACTTGGGCGTCCAGCAACTTGGAAGTTGGCCACGTAAGGTGTCTCGTTCCTTGCTTCCTTGGCAACGGCGAAACGCATTCTTTGCTGAGCCCCTCCTGTCAACACTCAAGTTTCTGCTTTCAATATGGCTCCATACTCTTGCTGGTGCGATAGGTAGGAAATGGCCTAACCCGGGTCTTGGAAATGAATCTGGGGTATCCGAATGAAGGAAACCATAGGATGGATGGGTTTCTCTCGTGCCCATTGAACCAGCAAGTACTTGAAGCCATCTCAGGTGGGAGCCGTCGGCGCAAACTCGAGGACGATCAAATGAAACCTGAGGTCAAGAAGGCACACATGGGCATTTTCAGTGCATGTTAAGCAGACTGTCCTCTAGAACATATAATCTATCCTGACATGTCTTTCTCTTCTAATTGCTGGTTTGGGTACGCCTGTACGTACATAATATACGCTGAAGGCTACATCCCAGCGAACCCGCAATGGCCCAACGAGGCATAAGCTCCGTCCAAATAATGCTGGCATATACTTCAAGCCATGTCGGACATGGTATGCCTGAGAAGCCGCCTTTCTGTCGCGGATGAGTCCTAACAGTGGGTTCAAGTCCTCGAGGTCATACACGTCTGGGGTGGTAAAAGCCCTTCTTCCTGCTAGAAGTTGCGTTTTGGGGTCTGCAATTGGGCCATGCGTCTTTTCCTGCTAGAAGTCGCTTTTTTGGGTCTGCGATTGCGCCAATCACTCGGGTGCGTCTATCCGAAATCTATCGAGGCAACAGAGTTGCCCTTCCAAGTTCCTCGCTGATGCGGCAGAATGATGCCCTGTGTTGGCCACGCGCGAAAGGGTGCCTCACGTGAAGCGAATCATCCATTCTGGTCAGGTGTGGGAGGGACAAAGTGAACTGCTCGGCGGTTGGACACTCCCCCTGCTCAACATGGCTCAGAGCCAGTTGCTTCCGGGTCCCAGCTCATTGGTCAGCTATTGGTGAGAGAGTTGTGCCTATGTTCCATATTACGGGCGAGCTTGCCGCGATCAGGGAATACAAACCTCACAACCATCACATGGAACGCAGCCTCTTCTGCCAAATCCATTCCATCAGCTTCACCTGCGCAAGCAACTGTCTGGCCTGGCATGAACATAGTCGCCCCTATTTTAGGGAGCCTGCGGATATTTTGTGCCACAGACCTTGAGAAAGCCTTCGTTTGTCACACCGTCCTGTGCAATCAAACCAGAATTCGTGCAACCGAATTTTGGTCCATTCAGGGGAGCTCAATATGAACCCCACTCGAATCCCACTCTTTGGAGGGGCCGACTCCTATTTGTTGCCACCGTCGTTCCAACTGTTTGACTCCCCTCCTCTTGCCGCCGCTGGAAGGATCTGGTAGCTCAGTGGCATATCCCCCGGATTTGTCATCATAACCACCTGGTACCTGGAGACAAATGCGACTGCAATACCAAGTGGATATTGGACACCGGGGCGCACGTTCGCTCGCCCGGGGGACAGGATCTGAATCGAACATTTGTCCTTGCAGCCGGCGTCGTATTAACAGCTCCCAAAGAGTGAGAGCTGAAACTCAGATGCGGGCTCTGAAATGTCAACCTGCGTGTCGGTTCTGGCACCCATTGTGTGACCCATCCTTGCATCAAGCCGTGAGGACATATGCCGTCACAAAGCGCATGGCATCAGCGTGCTTCGGACATGTGAATAGGTGGCTTGCTTGCCCAATCCTCTGCATGCAGCACCATTTCTTGCTAAATGTCCATGCCCCTCTGAGCTCCCTGAGCGCTGCACCCACGAAGAGTCAACATCCATGGGGGTGTAAACCTGCCGGATATGGTGCATTTCGGCTGGGCATTTGGTGCCGTCTCTCCGATCGTCAGGCCTTTGCAGGTCGACCAGCCGAAAGGTGCGATTCACCTTCTGGGCCACCACCACTTCCAGCAACTCCCCCTGCGAGACACACCCCGCGCCACGTGCTGGCAGAGCTGGATGCTGAGCTCGCCGCTTCCACGGTGCTGGAGTCTCGGTGAGGCAACGGAACGGGACGCCGCAAGTTCAACAGAAATCTGCGTGTTGGTCGAAAAGAATCGCTGGCACAAGCGGTGCGCCGTGAAGGGTGCCAGTGGCTGAACAAGTTTGGAACGCGGCAACGGCGATCTTCATTCCTGAACAGTTTATGCGTACTTTCAACAGCAACAATATCAAGTTGTGCTGGAGAAAGGCTGCAGAGCTGTTTCTGATGTTCAATGCTTCAGTGAACGAAGAATCGAGTAGGGCAAACATGGATCATATCCTCCTCAAAATTGGTTAACAACAGGAGATGAAAGATTGAGCTAACCTTCATGACAGCCCTCTCCGTACAACTTTCCACACTTCCACCGAGCAACGAATCATTTGCCAATTAGACCTTGGGAATGAGTTCGAGCAAACAGCTCCAAGGTCCCATCAACCATGTCATCTGGCTGTGGGTCAAAACCCTGTACCCCTGGTGCAAATATAGGAGCCATAGGTTCTGCCCCGCGGCCATAGCGCCAGTCTCCTCCGATGCTAGACCAACGATCCGGGCGCCCGGCTCTGCGGCCTAAAGCTGATCTGGAAGTCTGCCTGCGCCTTGGGCCTCGGGGTGGCCAACGCAGGAGGTCCCAGGTAGAGCACCGTGTAGCGTGTGGAGGAAAGTTCAGGATCACTCGAAAGGTGGACCCCTGGACTGTGGAAAGTGAAGGATCGATCCTTAGGGGGGTGAAAATTCTGGACTCAAGATATGAGAGATTCAGAAGTCTTTTCCACAGCAAGACGTTTCCCAACGGCCTGATGTCGCAGCTTGGCGGATAGACCTCGGACGCTGGAGCCACATTGACATGGCTGTGGCTCAAAAAACCGGTACCCAAAATGGGACCCTGGTAAGTGGAAACATGGACCAAAACCTGCGTAACCCCTCCTGTTTAATTTTGAGCCACACCCACATGATATCATGGCGTGTCAAGCTCTGTGCAACGTCAAAGCAGCTTCATGCGCCCTTGCTCGAAAGCAAACGCACAGTCAAACACACAGAGACACAGGTGTTGCTTGCAATTGTTTGATGCTGGATCTTGAAGGGCAATCGGGTGCTACAGCACTGGCAACAATCGTCTCACCAAAACGACGTAGCATCAAGTCCCTCTCACCCACTCCGTGGCTTGTTCTGCTGAGTCCATCTGAGTCCATGGCCGAGAACAGCCCTTTCTCGTCTGGTAGGCAGGGCACGCGCCTAAGATGTCTGACCGACACAGCTATGCACGGGCATACTGGAGTAAACTGACTTGACTCGGGCACCCTATGGATTGAATCACGGGTGTGGAAAAAGGGAACCCCTTTCGGGTGAAAATATCGAAACATCCTGAGGTCAGGGTCCCATGAGTCACTCAAGAGCCAAGGCAGCGACGTTTCCCCGGCAATCATCCACATCACCGTTACCTGCGAATAAATTCCCCTGACAAGCTGGAGCAGCGAAAGGTATACTCCTTGTCCATTGGACAACACACACGATTCAGATTCAAAAGAACTTTGATGGTCATCAGCAAACACTCCAATGCGAATATCCACCTTGCTACCGTAAACAATTGGCCGCCAGAACCCTTTCTGGTCTTTCTCAACTCGCCCGGAATGCATTTACACACAGCATACTGATCCTTTGCCTTCTGCGATGTGCGATTCGTGATCGTCACCGACTGCTTTTCCGACATGGTCAGGACCTTGTAAGCTGCCAGCAACTCGCAAGTCGCGGACACACACACACACAAACACACCATGCTTGTGGTCTGGGCTTGGCGCGGAATTCTGACCAAAATCCAGATTCCCGGGGCTAATTGTGATGTCCTGCACGGCAAAGCAACTCCGATGGGCACCAATTCCGTTCTCGGGTTGACCGGTCCCTGAGCTTGGAGTCAGTGGCCAGCATCAAGTCCTGGACGCGGACATTCGAGAAGTGACACATGGCCATGGGTCAAAGTTTCGTAGTGAACATCCCAATCCCCGCGAAAATAGACGAAACTGGGTGGTGCACCTACCCCAAAATGGTAACATTGGTTTTGACCCACAGCCACATTGCCGAAGAATGAACCGAGGTGAGAACCAAGAAACATCTATGCTACCTCACATGGCGCGTGTTCAGTGCTCGGTGCGCTTTACTCTCGCTGCTGCATGTGTGGCGCACTATATGTGCTCAAAGGGGGGGCATGGGCAAA